TCCTCAGATGAGAGCGGAGTTCATCCACCAAACAGAGAGGAAACAAATAAAAACTTCACCAGAGGAAAAATCAGTTTTTCTCTGAGGACCATGAACGTCACAAAATATCACAACACCTGGTAGATGTTGAGATATATCAGGGCTTAGCGAAGGGCCAATTATGTAACTTAGCATTAAGTTCGTAAAGTCATTTACAGGGTGCTAATTCATAGAATATCATACGTTATTATAAAAATATCAGGCAGGAAACACAGCGAGATAATAATTTACAATAATGAGCAGAAAGTGCGTCTGAAGGGAGTTTGTGCTCAGCAGTTTATTTCCAGATGAACTCTGACAGCTGCAGCTCTGCTTCGTGTAAATCAGGTCCACATTTGAACTCTGTGTCCGCAGCTGAGACGAGTCTGAAGGTGATTCATGACATAGATATAACGACTGGTATCAGGCCAGAAGCACCAGAATCACTTCCACCCTGAGATCCATTTGCCTCTCAGCTGCGTGTCCTTTCCTTCGTCAGTGAGATGGAGACACGTTTGTCTCTTTGAGCCGTTGATCTGAGGAGAGGAGTCAAGGTAAACTCAGAGCTGCATGAAAGAATCTGCACACCATCACACAGAGAGGAGCTCGGTTTGATTTCAAGAGAACACGGCTTCACTTTTCATCTTTAAAAACTGATCAGTTTGTTACACAGAAGTTTATTTCTATAAAAGACTTCAGCGGTGAGGCGAGTCAAAGTGCATAAAACATCAAACGCGTGGAGACAAAGTGCAGAAGAAACAGATTATAAAATACAAAACCAGTTATCAAAGAGCCGAAAGAACAGAAAATACTGAGCTCGGATAGAATGAGACAAGACACAGAAGCTGAAGTCACACAAAGAAATGAATCAGTGTTTGAGTTAATAAAAACCAGCAGCAAACAGAAGAGTCTTCAGTCAAAGCTCCACACGCACACAGGTGTGTTTTTAAAACACGAAAACAACTGAAGGTGCTGTTCATGTTCATAACCTGAACCCTAAAGCCACTCGAAGATTAAGATGTTGGCCAATCAGAGGCATGGATACCACCGCTGTGTCAATGATTTTTACATCAGACACCGACACACAGAGGCACCTTTCACAGCCGTATTGATACACACCTGGGACGTCAGGTTTAGAGACAGCAGGCAACAACGCAACTCATCAAATAGCGCCGCTCTGTCAATGTTCTGTTCTCTCAGCTCTCTGCCACAAGTTTTGTCGCCTAAACCGAAGGGAATAAACCTAAAAATAATGTGTTTTACCTTCCAGTACAGACAGAGCAGGGCACTTGCTGTCATATTTAGACGTACAGGTCTGCTGAGAAAGCAGCATTGTTTGATGAGTTGAGAACATGACAGTGTAAACGTGCGTAAAGTCCTGCTAGCACGTCAGAGTGGCTCTGTTTCGGTCACGTCTGTGGCGCCTCATGAAGGCGATTAGGACACACCCACTGATGTTTCCCACGTCTACACGTTGACACCAAAACGTTTCTGAACATCTTCACCCGGAAGCAGTTTCACAAAGGTTTATTTTCAGAGACCTGGAATCAGTTTGAGTGGAACGAAGGCCAAAACAGAGACAAAGCTACCTTTACAAAAATCGCCGTGTCTGTGTGAACGATGCCGCAGAACTGCAGGATTCTGGGAGTTTATTTCAGATATATGATGCATAGAAACCGAACGCTGCTTCTCTACGTTCGGTTCAGACTCTGGGGACACAGAGCAGACCTGTCCCAGACCACCTGATGGTTCACGCTGCGGCAGAAGATCAGACATGTTTAAATGTCACAGTCCAACATGTCTCACTGTCAGCAGAGACCAGGAGCAGATTAAAGGCCAGTTATAATGTAATGATCTGATCCCGTACAGCCTGATGGAGGAAGTCAGCTCTGGTGTCAGAACGTTCAGTTGTTTTAACTCATCTCGTCATGAATCTTTGGTCTGAGCTGCTCAGGTTTTCCTCCCCCATGTCACAGTCTGTCAGCCTCTGGTGATAGACGGCTCGGTGGCGGCGGCGGCGGCGGTGGCGGCGGCGGCGGCGGCGGCGGCCCTGACCTCAGCCTGCTGGTCTGAGTTCGACCAACATGGTCACTCGCTGTGTGAAAATCCTCTCCACCTCCAGCGTTTGTATGATTCATGAGTGACCTCCGTCTTCCTCAGCGTGTCACAGTTTCATGTCTCACTGTGAACACTCAGCCTGGTTCAGCTCTTTTCCTGCCGACTGACCATTTCCTGCCTGACGACTTCCTTTAAGGTTGCATTTTGGTTTCTTGTGTTTGAGGGTCAAAATCTGGAGGATGAGAGATGGCAGGTTTGTGGCTCCTCCATGTGGCACATCCTCAGTATGTCAGCAGTGTTTGATGACGATGAGACGAGACGTGTAACGAAATGTCTCAGCTGTTATTTTTATGGACTTTTTTCCTCTTTAAATATAAAACTGTCAGATAGTTTGTATCTATTCAAACATTTTTACTCATTAAAAGCTCATTTCAGATTCAAATGTGACTCTGTTCTCAGGGGAATAAAAATAAAAACCAATAGAAAGTGGCTGAACGTGAAGCTGAGAAGTGAAAGAAACCTCCCACAGGAGGAAATGAGCTCAGCTCTCAGTGATTAAAGCATCAGATCGAAGGTTTGTCAAAACATAAAATAATTCAGGTGTCATTCACTAACTCATGATTTGGACTTTAAATCGTCTGAATGTGCCGACACGTATTCTCAGCTCTGTCACACTCCAGTCAGTATTTATTTCAGGACTTGATTTTCACCTGGTCTCTGTGGGATCAGAGGACGGATGAGACTAATTACTGGAGTCTTTCCTGTCAGTCCGGAGTCAGTACAGAGACACAAGCATCAGTGGATCAGTGGAGAGGTGTCTTCCTCCTGAAGACCTCTGAGGGACTGTTCTTTATTTATCAGCACGCACACAGTCAGTGTCAGCGACGTGCTTATAGAGACAAACATGACAGCAGAGGTGGGAGTAAGTCACATGTGCACATCTCAAGTCTTTACCTTGAAGTCTTCAAGTTACTTTGGTGAAAATCAGGCAAGTCACAAGTCAACAAATTCTGATGATCTGGTCAGATGTTAGTTTTCTGGCCGGCGTCTGAGCAGCTAACGAGCTAATAAGTTAGCTACAGAGACACACTGCTGCTCTTCCTCTGACGGTTTTGTATCGATGGAAGAAGTCGGATGTTCTCATGGTCGTGTTGTTGATTTTTGAGCTGCAAACCTGCACACCATCGTTCTCTTCTTCCTGCGGTCATCGACAACAGAATCCTTCTATTCAGATTTTATTATTAGGCCTGGAGGCGTTGAGCTTTTCGTTCTTGTGAATGTGATATCTCGAGAACATCTTGAGGGAATTTATTCAGATTTGTTGGTTAGATTTCTGCCTACAAGAAGAGAATGTCCCCAGTGTTCTGTGTTTAGTCTTCACCCTGACACTCACCGCTTCTGGAGTCAAACATGAGCTCCCAGCTTCTTTTCTCTTTGCAGGCCAACATGAAACGGCCTCTTGTGATTGGTCCAGACTTCACACATGAAAGTAGTAAAACTTTTTAGGAAGGGAATTCTTTATTTATTCTTTATGTGCATCTACATTTTAATTTTTATAATTACAAAGCAGGGCACAGAGAGCTCCATGGTGTAGACGAGGCGCAGTGAGGTTCCCTTTGTACAGTTTAAGAGCACTTTGTTCCCAAACATGACGACAGTAACTAAGAGCATCTGAGAGAAGCTGAAAGTTCTTTAACTCCTTAAGAAAACATGTTCAGAACCTTGGTCCCCCTCAGAGGGACTGACAGTCTTTAAAATGAAGGCCTGACGCTGACAGACACAGTTTAATAACATTATTAATATTTATCTATTGAAATCGATTTTCATCAGAAACACAGCGACGAACTGATCTGAAATCAGCAGCAGCATCTTTATCTCTGCAAATTTCTGACCCAGTTTTAATGTTTACATAAGTGTGTTGTTGAGGCAGAAATCTCTCCTAATGAATGCATGAATTATCTTAATGAATGACCTCATTAACACGTCTGCTTTTGGCTGATTACAGCACAGCGTTAGGTAACTTCACATCTCGCCTCCTCCACTTTGTTTTTTCTGCATCTCCACTTTAGCCTTCAGCAGATCTGGTGTCAGTTCGATCAGTCAGTCATGTCCGGTGGTGCGTAGGCTGCAAACAGCCCGGCCACGGTTATCACCGCCTCACAGTGGAGCTCGGCGCTGTCTGCCACTCGTGGGAATCTTTTAATGCTTTCAGTTACATAAGTGAAGCTGAGGACAAAGAAGGTCCGACCCTTCCTCCCTGTGTGTCTCTGAGAGTCAAGGTGATGAGTGGTTCCACTTGTGTGATGCAGAGGAGACGTCCTGCAGCTCGACGCTCAGAGGACTCAGTGGGCTGCTGAACAAGTCGAGGGTAACAGCCGACAGAAGGTGAACGAGTTTGTGTCGGAGAGGCAGGAGCTGCAGGAAACAATCACAGACACATCTGCAATCTGCCAAGTTCTGATTCATAGTTTCCAGGTCTGATGTGACATTTTCAGAATGAGCAGCCATTAAGACTTTCAAATCACAGTTTGTCTGAGTTTTATATGTCAGGGTCGTGATGCACGAGGTCTGATCGAGTCTGAAACGCCATCAAAACACCGTCCAGAGTCATTAAAGCTTCATTCAGTCATTCAGCTGACACAGAGGGGTTCAGTCTGTGGAGCTCACAGGTCTGAAGATTCTCCACATTCATCAGGTGAAGTCGGTTTATTTCTATAAGACAGTTTAAAATCAGCCAGCAGCTGAACAGAGCAGGTAAATATGAAACAGGATAAAGGAAACAAATTTACAGACACAGAGTAATAAACTGCAGTTTGTGGCTCTTAAACTTTGTGACTTTAACCCAGCAGTGTGATAACGTCCTGATGAGGACAGGCGGCCATGTTTGTTCTAATGCCATCCTTTGTTTCCTCCCTCTCCTTCAGTACGTGGAGGCCATCAGCAACAAGCAGAGCGAGCTGGACAACTACATCGCCGAGGGCTACAAGAACGCTCTGTCCGAGGAGAGGAGGAGGTACTGCTTCCTGGTGGACCGTCAGTGCGCCGTCGCCAAGAACAGCAGCGTCTACCACGGAAAGGTGAGAGGACACACCCCTCCTCTGCACTCGTTTATCTTCTGGTGATGTCATGGCGAGGTGGCGTCTGTAGCTCTCAGGTCGTACGTACACAGCGCAGATCTGAAATCACTGATTCTGGTGATTTCAACATCAAAGACAGATTTTTTTGTCATTGTTTCAGCAGCTTTTTGACAAAATATTTAATCTGCACAGGTAAACTTTTAGATACAGAAATTTAAAGCCACATTAAGGCAAGTTTAAAGCTTTAAATCCAGACGTCTTACAGATCATCAAACCACTGCTCATGAATAAATCACCTGTTGTTTTATTTAAGATCTGATATCAGGGGCATGTGCAGCTGCGGCTCTGTGAAGTATTATTTATTAAAGAGGATCAGATTAGTTAATGTCATGGGTCCCTCCGAAAGTTTGTGACTGCAGAAACAGAAGAGACTCCTCAGGTGAACAGGTTAAAGGTTCATTCCTCACATTAAGGCGAGTATTTTTAAATCACAAATGAAGGATTATCTAATTAAAATTACTTTATTGCATAAATTTCCACAACAGAATTTATTTTGATTTTTATTTTGAACTTTTTCTCTCCACTAGTCTGAAAGACAACATGTTGTAGCACGCAAATCTTTAAACTGACCAGTGCGTGAACAAATGTTTCGCCTGCAGCATCTCACTGTCTCGTTTTTTTTTTCCTTCATATTTTTAGCTGACGACAATTCAAAACATTTAGCACGACTTACTCAGATGTTCAATGAGGTGCAAAATGACAACGTTTGGATACACTGTGCGTCAAGTCAAAGCCACAGTTGTTTTGCACCTTATTAAAGGTGTAAGTGAGCGGTGTGCTCCAGGAGTCCCTCATGGCTCAGTCCTGGCCCACTGAACATTTTATTTAGTCTCACATGTTTGTGAGCAGCCATGTCGATTAGTTCCATCTGTGAGTGACTGCTTCGATACGTCTGTTTCATTCAGGAAAAAGTTTCTGCTTCTGCGTCAGTGCGGCTGGAGACGACTCTGTCCTTCCTCCTCTCCCGCCTCACACTGAGGGAATGTGAAGTAGAGGAATGAGGAGGAGGAGGTGAGGAGGAGAGACTGACCTACTTTGGCAGGAACACTCAGTGTGTGTGTGTGTGTGTGTGTGTGTGAGAGAAAGTGTCTGATTGGGTGATTGATAGACGGAGGGAGGAAGCTCATAACACAACCTGCTGATGTGATGATGCACAGACAGACAGACAGACAGATGGACAGACAGACAGACAGATGGACAGACGGACAGACTCCGATCTTAAATCTATATATTAGTATATATCTGTATGAGATCGTGATCGACAGGAAGTGAACTGGAACCAGCTTGATAACAGACGACTGGTTTCAGCTTTGATGCTTTTCTTTGTCACGTGATCGTTAACTGAACGTTTTCTCGGGTTTGCATCGTTGGTCGCTCCTCGTGTCGCCTCTGATGTCATTTGTCTGTTAGAATCAGACCACAGCTGAATGAAATCAGCCAATCAGAGCCGAGGAGTCTCAGCTGTCGATCACATCGATAACTGCTGGCGAACTGAGGTCAAACTGTCAGCGCTGATCAAATACGAATCAAGATTCTGTCACCGCGTTTCTGTTTCTATCCTCAGATGGTTTCAGAAACATGTTTGTGACACAGCCGCCATGTTAGAGACAGTACAAAGCTCCGCCCACCTGCCAGACCAACTTCCTTATTTTACATACAGTCACATGATCGCAGCCCTCCAAAATACACAGGTTATGCGTGAATTAGTCTTCGTAGGAAACCTCAACAGCGTGCACGAGTCCCCCTAGTGATACTTTGTAGTACTGCACGGCCACATAAGATTATTTTTAAAATATCTGTCCCGTATGATTCTTAAAATAATCCCACTATAAATTGGATAAAAAATGTAAATGTTAGTTTGATAAACCACATTTAATATTGATTACTGCTTTTATCAGAGTAATCGTTAACTGCTGCATCAAAGTGTTTCTACCAGAAGTCTTTCACGCTGCTCACAGGTCCTGCACAGAGCTGTTAGAGTGAAAATAATGCGAACGAGTTCACACTGATCAGAGACATGTCCCTACTGCCCATACACAAACCTACGGCCTTGTAAAGCTCTCTTTAGTTTCTGGTACCATTTACAAACTGTGGTGTCTCCCACACACTCTGAGTTTCTGTGCTGGGAGGTAAGAATGAAGGAGAACGCTCCACCGTCTGCTCCTCGATTCGATCATCACAGTCCCACCCACGCTCCACCTCAGCTATTTGAAAGGGCTAACTGAGGTTGTAGTGACTCATCTTCTCTCCCAGCAGCAACAAACAGTGAGACAGACACACAGACAGGAGGACAGGGGGCCGTCTCATTCATTCATTCATCGGCCCAACTCTGTTAATCCAGCCTGAGCGCTTCACTGTGACCCAGGAATCAGCAACGACCCGGCTGCTGCTGTTCAAGGAGTCGTTACTGTACTTTTATATTTGTGTTACACACACACACACACACACACACACCCACACACTGCAGCCTCTAACTCTAACTGTTCATGGATTCAGAACTCCCTCATTTAGTCAGATGCAAATGAGTGGAGTGGTTATGTAACTGTCCTACTGTATAATGTATGGAGGAGATGAGAGTCGGTCCTCAAGAAGATTCATATCTCTCAGCGTCCTGTCCTTCCCTTCATCCGTCCAATAACTGCTTGTATCAATAATGTGAAGACAGTGGCTCCTCTGCAGAGCGCTGATTTTCATTAGTTTACTTGAAGTTTGCAGCGGTGCCGATGAAAGAAAACAAATGCCTCAGGAGGAAGACTCAAGAGGACTGTAGGCGCTGGGCCTGACGTAGACAAGTTCAGCTGTGCGTTATCTTTAATAGTCGAACATTATTCTGACCAGTTTTGTTGGACTCCCTGCTGTAATCAGTGTAATCAGTGTCATTTTTTATATATTTTTGTCCCTCTTGGACGGACCTCTTCATCAGACTTCTTGCGTCATGTTTGCTGTAATTTTCAAATCAAATGAACTTCTCAGTTTGTTTCTTCTTTTATTGAATTCTTACAGAAGTCTGATTTTTTTCTTCCTCTGATTAATTTGGTTTTTGTGTCTTCATATCTTCTGTCAGGCCGATTCTGTGAGAGGATACAATCGATCACAAGCGCACACTCAAGCACACAAATGAAACAACAGAATTTTCCTGCTGTAAAATCTCTTTCAGTGCAGTAAATGACTTGATGTCTTGCCTTAACTAAGGAAACCTTTTAAGAGATTCTGTACGACACCCTTAAGTGATTTCCTCAGCTAAGGAAAAACTAAACCTCAAGGAGTGAACTACAGGTGCTTTGTGCAGCCGGCCTTTCTTATTCGAGTCTTTTTATTTTTCTGGACTCTGACGGAGGACACGTATCATGTCTTAGCGGGACCTCCCTAATAAACAGCCTCTCTTCTTCTGTCTTCCAGGGGAAAGATCTTTTATCCCAGAAGATCCCAGTGTGGCAGCAGGCGTGTGCCGAGCCCAACAAACTGCCAGACCGTGCCATGTTCCTGGCCCAGCAGATGAGCGGTGCGGCGGGCGCCATGGTCCCCGGTCATCACCCAGGCATGCCCATCTCCGAGCCCATCCCCGGTGCTAAACCCCTGCCGGTGCCTCCAGAGCTGGCGGCCCTCAGAGCCAGCGGAGGGATGGGACAGCAGGTCAGTGTCTGTTGTGTCTTCAGTCCTCGCTCAGTCCAGCCGAGAGCCATCGACTATTTATAGATGTTTTATAGGAGAATGGGTTGTCATGGAAACAGCAGCTGTGATGAGTGATGCAATTGTTGATGTGTTTGGGGTTTTTTTATAAGTTCATAAATCTGTTCAGAGATTCAAACACATTTGAACCTGCGAGGACGCTCGCTGACACGATGCTCCACCCGACCTGCTCCTCCAACTCCTGAAGCTGCGGAGGACGATTAAAATCTAAATCTAAGCAGAGTGTTTTCTTTAACTGTCTTAAAATCAGAATGGTTGTGTTTTCATCACCTCAGAATGAGACGTTTATATCTGCATGGGGAGCAGGTCCTCGTCTCTGCACCCTGCAGTCCAGAGCCGGGTCTGACCAGCTCTGGTCTCTGCAGCAGCCACTCCTCTGATCATCCATCTAATCAACTGATCAATCCGACACAAACTGATTGATTGGAAGTCTTGTCTCAGTTTTCCATTTGAGACTCAAAGTCAGTTAACTGTTGCTCAGATCAAAGATAAAACTCATTTAGAGCTGCGTTCAGGGACCTGCCAAAACCTCAGCCTTCAGAGAGACGATGTAGATCTGTCACAAAGAGCGAAGGTTTGACGATCCGACACATAAAGCTCAGATTGGTCCTCACAAAGATAGAAACAGTACACACACACACACACACACACCTGACCTGGCCCGTGTCGCTCCCTGACGTTGCTGTGGCATCATGGGAGCCCTCATCGCTCTTGTGAATGCAAATGAACTCGTAAGCGATGCTAATTAGCTTGTTGCACAGAAGAGGCTTAAATTCCTGCGTTCCTCGGGCTCCTGAAGGCCCCGCCCCCTCCTGCTCACTGAAGACAAAAATGAAAAGCCGTCTTCAGTTCGGCTCCTAATTTAAAAAGCTTGTTTCATGTTCCAGATTAAAGAGCGTGTGAACGTCTCACAGCATCCCAGCAGTCGCTCCATATGTTTATCTTTAAAGCAGCGTGGGCTCAGATGTGGTCGTTTCATGAAGCAGCGTTTCCTGACCCAGATCTCTCCACCTCCTCCCTGGTTATTATTAATGAGCCGTCTGATGTTACGTAACAGCCTCAGGGAAACGGTTTGTTTTAATTGCCTGTATGCAAATGTCCTCATCTCTGCAGAGGCTGATGGGTGTGGAGGGGGGCATGCCGGTGATGAACGGCACCGCCGGCGCTCATGGAGGAGAGGACTACCAGCAGTGGATGGAGGGCAAAGTGGCCCAGGGCAAAGTCTCACCACAGACCCAGCGGCACGGAGGGGAGGTCTACTCCAACACACTGCCTGTACGCAAGGTCGCCCCCGCCAAGGGCAAGACCACTCTGAGTAAGGACACTTTCTGTGTACGCTGGGTGGGCCGTATGTCCATCACACTCCATGTACCACCGCTTGTTTAACATGGGATGTTTAAAACAACCATATTACAAACATCCAGTATGAATTGTTTTTAAGTTATCCACGTAAGACTCAGTTTAGCATTTTGGCGTAAAAAGACACGAGAAACACGCTGCTCTCTCCTGTCGAGTTTTTGTATCTGCACAGCTCCAGATTGCAACCATGAAGCTGCATTTTGTAACCATGGAGCACCAGTGCCATTTGCAGATATTACTAATGTATGAACTGAAGAGCTGTTCCTGTGTTTCCAGCTCACAGTCAACAAATCATTACGTTAAATGGCGCCACTGTAATGGTTTAACTTCCTGCTAACAGCTAACTGCTGAGAGCTACCTAATAACAGCTAACTGCTGAGAGCTAACACCTAACCGCCGACAGCTAACTGCTGACAGCTAATAGCTAACTACTGACAGCTACATAATAACAGCTAACTGCTAACAGGTAACTGCCGAGAGCTAGCTGCTGACAGCTAATAGCTAACTACTGAGAGCTACCTAATAACAGCTAACTGCTAACAGGTAGCTGCCGACAGCTAACTGCTGACAGATAATAGCTAACTACTGACAGCTACCTAATAACAGCTAACTGCTAACAGGTAACTGCCGACAGCTAACTGCTGACAGCTACATAATAACAGCTAACTGCTAACAGGTAACTGCCGAGAGCTAACTGCTGACAGCTAATAGCTAACTACTGACAGCTACCTAATAACAGCTAACTGCTAACAGGTAACTGCCGACAGCTAACTGCTGACAGCTACATAATAACAGCTAACTGCTAACAGGTAACTGCAGAGAGCTAACTGCTGACAGCTAATAGCTAACTACTGACATCTACCTAATAACAGCTAACTGCTAAAAGGTAACTGCCGACAGCTAACTGCTGACAGATAATAGCTAACTACTGACAGCTACATAATAACAGCTAACTGCGAACAGGTAACTGCCGACAGCTAACTGCTGACAGCTAATAGCTAACTACTGACAGCTAACTGCTAACAGTTAACAGGAAGCTTCACAGCAAAAACATCAACACACTTCAGAATAAAAGCACCAGTGGTTCTGCTTTATTTCAGTATAACAATACTTTATCTAACTGTATCATATAAAAGTGCTTATATTGAAACAGCACTTTATTTAACTTGATAATTTAATAATACTGTATTTAACTGCACTTTATTTTAACAATACATTATTTAACTTTATTATTTAATGGAAGGTAATTTAATTAAATTTAGTCAAACAATACTTTCTTTAACTTTATAAAATAACCACTTTATTTTACTTTAATATTACTAGGCCCCTGCCCCTGAATAACAATGTTCCTGGTCATTTATTTAGGGCCATTAGTCGACTAGTCGCCCGCATGTTTATGATATTAATTTAATTATTGAACTATATATTTTAGGCGGGGCAACACAACGGTTTATAATAGTATCAGTAACATTGTTAACACTGTGCTACATTACAGAAAAATACAAACCGTACTAATGAACCTTCATTAATATAGGCCTATATTTTATCTCCAAGTGCACGTCACACACTGAGCGAGCCGCCTGTTAATGACGCTGTGGGCTAATGGGCATGTAGCTACTTCCATGTTTCAGATGATACGTCATGTTTGTAGTCGACCAATGAAGATGAGTTTACATATCACCTTGGGTTCGTCCTTCACCTTCTCAAAATGATCCCACACTTTGGATTTCCTGCCCGACATGTTATTAACTAGCCTGTGGAATAACCGCAGGTACCAGCCCTGGAAATTAACCTGACTCCTGTCTGACTGCTGAGCGTGGACACTTCCTGTGTCTGTCCTTTCAAAGGAAAGTCACACATGGTCTAGTCATATAGGGGTTGATTTATTTTGACAAGGTGCAGCTCCTCATAGAGTTCCATGATTGTTTTGTGTTGTTTTCTGCGACTATTAGACCAATAACCCCCCCCGCCCCCCCACACTGTGAGGGGGCAGCCCGAAATATTACGGCACTTTATTTAACTTTAATGCAACAATAGTTAATTTAATATTTAAAATATTTTAGTCGTCCACAGAAGAAGAGATTTCAGAATATTGAGTTACCAAAATACTATTTATTGTGTATCACTATATAGCCTAAAATGATTGGGATATAACTTTTAGTCCAAATCTATCTCTCAGCCCGACTGTGTACAAACGTTCAGAGATCTGGGAGGAGGAAGGTTTGTAGTTAGCTTTAACTTCTCCCAGTAAATGTTTCTTTAAAAGTCTCCCAACATGTCGGAGATAAAACCCAGAGACAGATCTGATGGATCATCTGTGTGAATCAGAAACAGGCAGCAGCAGCAGCAGCAGCAGCAGGACGAGACGTGATATTAAAAACAAGAAGAAGAGTAAAAATAAATCCAGAGCAGATTCTCACTAAACACTGAGTCATTTGAAACGTTCACACACAGCTGGTTTGTGTCTGATAAACACCTGTGGACCTCAGCAGAGGAACACACAGCTCAGATAAGGTGAACGGGTTCTTAGCAGAAACTTTACAGATGTGAAGAGACAAACTGAAAACTGTCCCTCTTCCTTCCTGTCCCAGCGGAGACCCGCACACTGCCACGCTCCAGCTCCATGGCGGCGGGACTGGAGAGAAACGGGAGGACCCGAGTTCAGGCCATCTTCTCCCACGCAGCTGGAGACAACAGCACCCTGCTCAGCTTCTTCGAGGGCGACATCGTGACCCTGCTGGTCCCCGAGGCCCGCGACGGGTGGCACTACGGAGAGAACGAGAAGACCAGGATGTGAGTCAAAGTTTTTATTTTGTTAACAACGTCTGCAGCTCAGAATGAGTCAGCAGATTTATCAGTGTTTGCTGTGAGGTGTGATTATTAATCAGTTGTAATATCATAAACATCCCTCTGAGTTAAAGCTGTAAACAGATTTTATTTTATTTGTATTGTTGTGTTTTTATTGTCTCTTTTTATTTCTAACTCGTTTCTTCATTTTTTCTTTTGCATCTGACTCTTAAACTTCTTTAACCTGTGAGTTTTCCCGCTGTGGGATCAATAAAGTTCATCGTATCGTGATCAGTTTGTTGTTTTGATGTCTTCAGGCGCGGCTGGTTTCCCTTCTCCTACACCCGGGTCATCGCTGAAGGTGACGGCAACTCCATGAGGCAACTTCGAGTACACAAGTAGGTTGGAGGAGCTTTTAGAGATTCACTGAACACGAACCAGCCGAGTGTGTGATCGAACTGATAGATCTGTTTTGTCGACTTATTTATGGTAATTTATGAGGTGAATATTAACATCTGATTGTAATGAAACTTTATTTACTTCTTCAAATCTTTCTTGCTGACGACATTTATTGGTCGAAGAGTTTATGAGCTGAAAACTGAAACCACAGAAACGTTACATTTGTATATAATGACGCAGCGGAAACATTGAAACCGTGGTTATGTTTCGACACAAAAACATTCAATCAGAATTTGGCCTTAAAATACCTATGGGCAGCTGCACAGAACACCTTAAGTTGAGATTTTTCTTAAAGTCCTAGCTAAGTTTCCTCAAAATAAAATCAGTTGCATAAAACACCCTTTAGTCTTCTCCTTCAGGTACTGATGGTTTTCTCCTTGCGTTGGTCTTACACTTAAGGAATCCCTTAAGTTTCAAAGACCTTAGCAACCAAGGCAAGGTTAAAAAAAAAACTTAAGGTACCTCTGACTCTCTGATTGCTCCAGAGGTTTAATCTTTCCTCCTCTGACCAATAAGGTTTTCTTGTCTTCTTTTCTTCTGCCATTTTTTTCTCTATCGAACTATAAGGTAACTTTGCGAGACGATAACAGGCGTCACAGGAGTCCGAGCAAACAAACCATCTCCATGGAAACTACCTCTGTAAAATCTCTTTCAATGCAGTAAATCCATTTTTCCTTAACTATGGAAACCTTTAAGTCCCTCAGCTAAGGAGAGATTAAGGGCCTGTCCAAATACCCACACTTCCCATGGAAATACCCACTTGCAATACCCGCCCTAGATTCCAAGGGAGCCCCGGCCCACACTCTCAACGAAGTGGAAGATGAAATTTCCCAGAACACTTTGCGAAGTCAGCAACTTCGGCAAGTTCTGGAAAACAATTTGTTACTGTACGATTGGAATGTAGGCTATACAAACAACAGATGGTTGGACTAACATAAACTCATCAGCAACTCGCTTGAACACTTCAATCAGAACTATAAGACATCGTAGGCGCCTCCTGTTTTCAGCATCTCTTCTCCGTTGATTCATCAGACGGAGAACACGCCACAACACAAGCGCTGGAGCTGGCATTTTCATTGCGCCGCTACTATGCGTGACGTATACCTGCACATCGGCCACGCCAATTTGCGTGAAGTGGTGTCTTGTTTCTTAGGGATAGATCTCTACCCTAATATGTCTCACTTCCCTCATCAGGGGTTATCTCGCAAACGAGGGCACTCAATACCAAGTGGAAGAGTTAAGGGGTAGAAGTGGGACAGGCCCTAAGCTTTATGTGTCATACTTAAGGAGGAATTTAAGGTGTTTTGTGCAACTGGTCCCTGATTTTTGGGGCGACCTGTTGGAGTGTTTGCCCTGAACCGTTCTCAGGGAAACACAGAGACAGGTCACCAATAAACAACCGGAGTTGTTGTTTGTTGTTTGTTTGTATCTCTGGGCTGAAAACTGAGAATTAAACAACCAATCATGACAGTCCTTCAGAAACCCTCTGGCGGCCCTCCTGCGGGTTGTCCCACCCACAAGCTAAAATATTTGTTCCTGATGTTTACCATTTGCTCATTTCCTGTACACCTGTGTGTCTCCAGCCTCCACGGGAAGAGCAGCAGCACAGGGAACCTTCTAGAGAGAGAGGACATGGCTCTCCCCGCCCCTGATTACGGCACCCAGTCCCGCATGGCGGCACAGAGCGCCGCTGCGTTGCACGGCAGACAACAACGCCCCTACAGCGTGGCGGGACCAGGCTTCTCACAGGTGGGGGGCCTGCAATACAAACACACATGCTGGCATCCACCCACACACCAGTTCACACATAACACATGAGCTGTCACACGAAACTTGGTGAAGGTGTCGCACTCGTCTCCCCAACAGAGCGCTGCTGACCTGAGATAGCTTCAGGCAGGATGTCTCTTCTTCTGCTGCTCATAGTTAATCTGGTTCCTGTTTACGGAGGGTGGAGTGTAGGATGTGGCGCCTGGCTGCCTGGCTCTCTGAGGGACGTGCTTCTGACAGGCGTCCAGCTGATAACAGAGCGAGAGAGGAGGCAGCCACATCAACGAGGGAGGAGGGGGGGTAATTTTTCAGAAGGCAGAATCAGACTTATGCAACGCTGAACCCTTCTCTAGCAGCTTCCCTCCCACGCCTCACCTGGAACATTACATGTGGGCGATGCTTAATTGCTCAGCAGTCATGTAACAACTTAAAGTGTTCCTCCGCCTCACAGCGCTCACGATGGAAACATCTCTGCTGACATTTAAGGAGTCGGCGTTATGCATGTCAGCGATGCTTCCACTGGATCATCTGTATGTCCGAACACCTGAAAAGTTCCTGTAAACACACAGCTGTGTGTCCACAGCGTGAAAGTGTGTGTTTGAGTCTGCAGTCAGGACTCCAGTCACACCAAAACATTTATGTAGATGTTGTTTCACATCTCTTGACCTACAAATCACTGAATCAACAGTCACAAAGAGCAACAAGGTGTTTCAACCTTCACTCTGAGATGTTCTGTCACTGACACACATCTCTGCAGAGTTAACAGAGGTTTGTAGTCGTTCAGTCGATCAGCTGCAGCTGGATGAAGAACCTGCAGAGTCTCTCCTGCTGTGTTTCTCTGCTGCCACCTGCTGGCCGCTGTGCTCACTGCAGCTCTTCAGTTGTGTCCAGTCTTCAGTGTAGGGCAGGTCGATACACACAAAAACGTCAGGCTGAACGGTGATACACAGGATATATATCTCAGTATTTTCTTCATGTTGAGCTGCAGGTCAAAGCCACATTTGAGAGTCACGAGCACTTTTATAAAAACTATAACATGACTGATAAAAGTATCAAGTAGGTTTGAAACAATTAAAAACCTTTGTGGGCGGAGTTAAAAAGTGGTTTTCCATCTGTCGGGAGATGCTCTGTGAAGAACGGCATTATGTAAAGCGACTTGACCCCATATCAGTATAAACGGTGTTTATCCGTATCTTGCTTGAAAATATATGGATATATTGTACCCATCATTTTATCCCCCAGCCCAACTCCAGCCTGAGTGTTTGTTCCAGTATGCTGGTTCAGGATAAACTCCAGGACTAACTCTGTGTCTGTCTCTGTCTTCGCAGCAGGCGGTTGAAGAGTACGAGCCTCGCTTCCCCACAAGGTAAGAAGAACGATTTGTTGCAGTTGATATTTTTTTATTTTCCATTGATACAAAAATCAGGTTCAGTTCAAATCATCCACTGTAAATATGTTGAAAAACTATGGCACAGTGTAAAGGACAAAATTCAGACTACTGAGAACTGAGAACTCATCAGAGGTTGAAAATTCACAACAGATTCAAAGTAAAAACATTTATTGCATCATGTATATAAGATGCACATTGTCAGAGACATGTTTACTCAGGATAGGCGATAAGCATTCTGGGTAATGAGTGAATGTTTAGTCCCTTTCTCAACAATATATTTGAGTTAATGTGAAAAGTCTTTTCAGCACTTTATTTTTTAATAAAATCTAACAACAAAGGCATCTGGTCAAACTTTCAAATAGTTTATAATATAAATGTTTGTTTATGAACAAAATGACAAATAAAATAATGTGTCGACTTCAGTTTCCCGCCACTGGCCTCTCAGTCTCCAGCGCTGGCTCACCATTGGTCAGATCAGGATCTCCGCTGATTTCTCAATAGTCTTGATTTTATTTTTTTTACCCTGCGCCATAAAAACTGGATGACAGCGCCTCCACTTTGATTGGTAGCAATTAGAAGTGTTTGTGGGTGGGAAGCCAGTGAGGGGTTGTGTCCTTCTGGCTGGGCGCAGGGATTGTCCATGTCCTCCTGAGACCCTGCGTCCTCATATGATGACATTATTATACTTCATTCAGCTTCACTCAGACCTGTTGTCCTCGTTCATGGACACTTTTGTGCCATCTAGTGGTAGTAAGAGCACAACACACTGATCCATGTAAAAACAAGATGGCTGCCATCTCTGCCGAGTCAGTCTGCAGCCAAACGGTCCAAAACCTGATCACATGTCATGGTTGAAACTTTTTTATTTATGACAACACGTGACCAGTTCAATCAACAGGAACAAGATAAGACGTTGTTAATCAGAAAGTGCTCGTTTGAGGACACTGGGACTTAGTTATTGTCTTGTATGAGGACATTGAATAATCGTTGCATTGTGTGTAACTTAGTTTTTGTACAGCAATGTTGAGGCATTGAAATAAACACACCTAGGACTATTAAACATAAACCCAGTGTCCCGGTACGAGGACGCCATTTATTACAAATACTACAAAGGCAGGTCTTAGTTTTTCATATTTATCGGGTGCTACTGGTCCTGAATAGCGGGGAGAAATTGTGTACCAAACAAAAGTTGGGGTCTCAGGAGGACACACCTCTGAGTGGACGGACTGAATGAGAACTGAGCAGGTGGTCAAACAGCTGAAGGTGGAGCGGTGAGGGATTGGGACGTTTGGTGACCTGCAGACACACACGCTTCTGTTTCCTGTTGTTTTCTCTTCTGTTTGTTTGATAGGACGATAAGTTATAATATCATAGTGTTAACACTGCATGCTGGTGGACGGCTGGCTCTGTGAGGTCACCTCTCAGGACTATCGCAGAGAATATACATATATATATATATATATTTTAATGGTAGAAGTAGATGATACTTTAAGGCATGTTTTTGGGTTGATTTGGTTTCTGTCTTCAGTTGATTTCTTTTTGTTCATTAATATCAAAACACTCGTGCTTTGACCTCCCAGCTCCTCCCCATGCACCATGCAGCTCCAGTAGCTCCTGCACCTGCTAACTGCACCCACCCACCCACCCACCCACCCAATCCCTAATCACCTGCTTCAAACCCTCTTATTCACATTTAAGGTGGATTTATAGTTCTGCATCAGCTCTACGCCGTAGCCTTCGCCATTGTGAGCATTTATACTTGTGTGGGGGTGTGTCCGTGTCACTCTGCAGTTACACGTCCATAACACTAGTCGGCGACAGAGTTTATGTGAAGTGCTGTAAAGTTTAGTTGATCCAAAACGCACATTAAACACACATTAAACATGGCTTAATAGAGACATTTTCCCCACAAATACAACATGCTAAAGTTATTAGCACAAGCCTATGGCATTTTACATTGTATAAATTAGCCTAGCAGCTAGCGGAGTTTTCCTCTACTCGTAAGAATAAGTCACACACAGGACTTATAATGCTATTTTGTGGAGGCTGTATTGTCATCACAATTTATTTCTTATCTGTGAAATAAAAGTAGATTAAAGTTAGAAAAAATGTTTTCACTCACCGTGACGGCGTAGGTCATGGCGTAGGTCATGGCGTAGGTCATGGCGTAGGGTATGTGTTTGATGCCGAAGTGTAAATCTCTCTTGAATGTAACTGAAACCTGCCGCCATGTCAGAGGCTGGCGAGTTCAGGGTCCGATCCAGTGTGGGGTTTATTTCTGATGTGGGAGGGGTCGGCGTGGTCCCGCCCCCTCCGTGTGTCCGTGTTGTGTTTGCTGCTGTTTCTCCTGAGCCAGCCCACCTGGAAGCCTCTCCCTCTCTGTGTCCGCAGTTCCACAGAGGGCAAATTGATTTCGACAGTGTGAGGACAGACAGACAAACAGACTCAGCCAGACGATGCGATAGGACAGGCACCTCGCTGCCCCTCCACCACCCCCCTCCCCCATCCTTACCCTCTCCTCCCCCACCTCCCACTCACGGCAATAAACTCTCTCCTGAGCCAATCAATGCGAGGAAGAGGCTTTGGTCTGTGTCCTCCCCCGCCTCTCTGATCTCCCCTCCCCCCTCCTGACCCGCCTTGTGCTGCCTAACTGGCCGGTAGCCACAGCGGGCCGCCGGCGACGCCTCGGTGCAGCAGCCTCTGTGCCAGTCCAATATTCAGAATCAATGTGACGGACATTTTCTGTGAGGAAAATGTATCTCTTGCTTGTCTTTCATGCATGTACATTTGTTTTACACACGGCTGGGGGTTATATTTCCCCAGCAGAGGAACCTGGTTCCACATGTCAGTGCTCTCCATCAGAATGACCATGTAATGGAACATGTAAATCAGGGTGTGAAATAACGACGAGGATTTTCATGTGAAAACGACATAATCAATATTTTACTGGCTCTTTCAGTATTTAACATTTGAGCTTTTGATGCTGTGAGCTTTTGTATCCTCTGAGACGAGAGGTCATGTATCACGAGTAGTGAACTGCTGATGTAAATGTTTGAACTCACAGGACGCAGACGATGTGACGGGGATGTTTACTGTACATAAATGTGCCATACAGAAGTGCTTGTCATAACCTATCTATGATCAGTTCATTTAATCAATAAAACCCGCACCTTATCAAAGTTTATATTTATGACTGTGTGTGAACTCTAACGTCTTCGGCCTCCATCACGGTGTGGAGGGACGCTGTCCTCAGACACACACACCCGGAGGCTCGGGGTCGATATTTGTGGGAGTGTGTGAATATCATGCCAAGGCTGAATGGGGTCGACTGTCCCTGAATCACATGATGTTTCTCAGTGTGGTGCTGAAACTTATTCATGAAGCAAAGAAACGTTCTCTGACTCCTGCTGCTGCTGCTCAAACGTCTCAATCTGCTGCTTCTTTCTGTTTCATAATCGGACGACATCACTTTGGTATTTATCAGAATAAATAATCACATTTTGAAAACATAATTGGCCGACTATGAAAAATTCTGCGGCCTTGTTGAACCATCGTTCATGCATGAAAGAAAAGACAACTGGTACTGTTGTTAGGCTCGGTGCACGTTCAGCGCCTCCGATTCAATCACGTTTGTGAATCATTAATTTAAATGAAGAATTCCAACCTGCTGTTTCCACGGTCTCATAAAGTTCAGTTTACATTTGTGAAGTGATGTCAGAGAGTATAAAATCTGGAGCTGCTCTGTGGACATTATCTATTTTACACCCAGCTCTGAAACAGAAAATGTTTCCATAAACTCAAAACGTTCCTCGGGCTGCTCTCAGCGTCGTCTACAACATCGTTCACCGTTTACTGTTGCAGCCTAAAATCCGCAGGCGACCAGCTGTTGCCGTTCGAAGTGGCACAGAAGGAGCGTCTCTTTTAGCTGTTTTCCTCCTGCTCTCTCTGCACGGCTAACATGAGCTAACACAGCACAATATGATCTTGTCTGATGATAAACAGAGAGAATCGACAAGCTGCACGCAGCTCAACAATAAAATTAGATTTTACCCTTTAAATTGTCACATTTAAAGGGACAGTGCACCCAAAACTGAAAATTCAGCCATTATCTACTCACCCATATGCCGAGGGAGGCTCAGGTGAAGTTTCAGAGTCCTCACATCACTTGCAGAGATCCAAGGGGAGAGGAGGTAGCAGGCTACAATGAGGCTAAAAACAGAGTTCAAATGACGTTCTTCCAAACAACCTTTTATGTCGGGGCTTCAGGACACTTGGATCACTACGGACGAGCAGTATGGAGATATTTTGTGGTTTCAATGATGTGTTTTTGGACGTTTGAATCTGGGGCGCCGTCAGCCTCCATTAGGTGGAGTTGTGTTGCTACCTCCTCTCCCCTTGGATCTCTGCAAGTGATGTGAGGACTCTAAAACTTCACCTGAGCCTCCCTCGGCATATGGGTGAGTAGATAATGGCTGAATTTTCATTTTTGGGTGCACTATCCCTTTAAGTAAAGTTGTGGTGAATCTATATAAATTAATAGATCACACAGAATTCACAGAGATTGGTTGAATTTGTGTTCAGCGACTGCATCCTGGAGGGAGCGTTTTATGGAGCAGCTTCGCACTTTATACCTGATGACATCACAGATTTGAGTGCGAGGACTCTAGTTTTTGGATTTGGGACAACGTTTATGATTTTTACTAATATTTTTGGGCTGCCAGAGACCAGAGGAATAACATGTTAGAATTTTGAAAATTAGTTCATCTTTAAGAGCGACAGTGACTCAGGGGCGGAGCCAGACGCTTCAAACATTCAGGGCTCAGAATGATTTCAAATGATTTAAGACATCACACTGAATGTTTACATTTGCAAAAATCAAGATGAAATCATCCTGTAGAGCTGCATCCTCTTTTGTATCTTCATCACTCTGACACCAGAGTCATCCTCAGCATTTGTTGAAGATGACTCATTTTCAC